ATGTTGGCATACAAATAATTTTAAAGATGATCCCAAGTGTATTTGAATTGTATGGAGAGAAAGAATAGCAACAATAGTCATATTCCAAGTTTCACAGAAAATAATTATAGTTTTCTCAAACCTCTTGTATATGTTTTTAATTATTTTAAAGGATAATCTTTTCACAGTGGTCTCTGAGAATATTTCAGTACAACAGTCTTATGTTGTGACTAATGCTGCCCTATATGCTTTTATAATTAAATGCCAAGGCATATTTTCAGGTGCAGTGTGTTAGTAGAGCCACACTGGAATCAGTGGAGCCTATCTTGTTTTGTTTTAGCTGATAGGCTGACATCTTTCAGATTCTGATTCAGCATTTATTCATTAGTTCGTTTGTTCCACTCTAAGTCACCGTTTGTTTTACAGACACATAATGAATTTACTATTACCCATGTAATAGTGCCGAAGCAAACTGCGGGACCAGACTACTGTGACATGGAGAACGTTGAAGAATTATTTGGTATTCAGGATCAATATGATCTCCTCACTTTAGGTTGGATCCATGTAAGTATGATTCGTAAATTCTGGCTTTTTTATATTGGCTCTAAATACTGTGTGAAAAAGAAACCTGTAAATAAACTAAAGAAACAACTGGACTAATCCAAATTAATTTGCTTACTTAATTCTACTTGTAGTGATGTAAATGATCACTAATGTTCTCCACAGAGTATTTCTGTAATGCAGTTGAGGCATTACATTGTTGACACAATGGGCCTGGCCTTGCCAGTGCAACTTCTGTTTATATTTAGGGATATTTTATTACTTTCTAATGCCATATTCAAAAGTTGGGGAGGGGAGGTATTATGTTGTTGAAACTTTATGTTGATTTCACTCTTAGGGATTTTGTACAATTAAGAAATTTCCCTTTGTCTTGTGCTTCTTCATTCAACCTTTCCCTCACCACGATCAGAGAACTGCTTATGTACCTGATTGTGAATGTGCCTCCATGAATCTGTTCCTGAAAAGCCACCCTAACAATATAGAATCTGGGTCAATAAGAACTTAAGAAACCAACCTGGGAAAGTACTGATGCTTTCATCTGTCACAAATTATTGTTCCTTTTTGAATTTATGTTGACTTTGATCTGTAAGAATTATTTCATGATGTTAAGTTTTCCCTTTCTTTTTCTAGACACATCCAACACAAACTGCATTCTTATCCAGTGTTGATCTTCATACTCATTGTTCTTATCAGCTAATGTTACCAGAGGCCATTGCAATTGTTTGTTCACCAAAGCATAATGAGTGAGTTCTGATTTTTTTAAAGTAATATTTAGATATTTTTCCCTGCTCCTTCTCATAAAATTTGATCAAATGCAACGAGTACATGCAAGCTCAGATGAAGGGCATGAATATGGAGTTGTGTGGGTTTTTTCTGTAAGTAGCTCAGACTTGCATTTCAGTCAGTCTCTATGCACAACATTGTTTCTGGTTTCTCTCTCCTCCTCCCTTCCCAGACCCAGGTTTTAAATTTTGTTTATTTTTATATCCTGCTCAGCAAAGTAGTAAGGACAAGAGCTATTCTTCTGGAGTCCTTGTTGCCAGTGGCCTACCAAGATCTATCTTTATTCCATCTGCTTAAGGAAGTGGAGGGATATGAGGCATATTTCTCTAGAATTATATGAAAATTGCAGTTTGTGAAGCAGAAGGATAAGGATTACCTTTTTTCTAATGCTTTGTATTGTGTGATTACCTAAAGGAGTGGTAATCACCACTAGTCATTTACTGCCTAATGGGAGTAGCACCACTACTGTGATTTTTTTTCTAACCCCTTCCCCTCATCATCTCTTCCTTTACAGAAATGCACCTTCCTTTGGTTTAAAATTTAAAAAAACAACTCAGCCTGGGCTCTTGTGTTATCGAAGGTCACCAAGTGCTATTCTCTTGTCCTTCTCTTAAGCTAAACCATTGGTATGTGAAACCTTGGACATGTATTATGGGAGCAGTGCGTAACAGGAGTTTCTTGTTTTGCTTTCCAGCACCGGCATCTTCAGACTTACTAATGCTGGTATGCTAGAAGTGTCTGCTTGTAAAAAGAAGGGATTCCATCCACATACAAAGGACCCTAGGTTATTTAATGTAAGTATATAATCCAACATGGTTTTGACTATTTAAATTCTTGCTCATGGATCTGCTATGAGCAGAAATCACATGTACTTGAGGTTAGATTTCTTAATAACTTTCCTGCTGTCTTAATGGTTCATTACCCTTAGTTGACTGACTAAGGTGGCCAGCAGGAGACTGCTCAATCAATCAGTAGCAGCCATGAAATGAGTGTTATATGCTTCCATTTAAATGGTGGTTAACCAGAGGCAGTCACCATCAGTCAACACTTCTTGCCTGCTTTCTGAAGGAGCAAAAGCCACATTTTCAAATGGGAGTTATTCCTGAGCTCTTCAGTTTCTAAACAAAGAATCAGTTCAGTTCATCTCTCCAACTGTAGTGTCCCAACATAACATCCCAGCTGATATAAAGTGCAGCTATGAGTAGGTTAAGCCCTAATTCTTTCATTGCCCATAATTTTCCCCTGGCTACCATATCTTTTGATAATAACAACTATTTTGCAGTAAAACAGTAAGCTGTATGTATCGCTCACCAGTAGAGTCAGTCAGAGTTGCCTTCCAGATAACAGTAATATTTCTGATAAGTCTTTACCTTTGAATAACTAAGAATTTGGGGTTTTTAAATAGGCCTCACTTTAAATACAGAAGCATCTCATATAGCTCAAAACAAATTGATCAAATACAGAAAAGTAATGCTGAGAGACAGTGGAAATTACTTTGTTGTCAAACTTTCGGATTGTCAGTATTAGTCCTCAAAAGAAGAAGTTGGGGCTCTTTGTTTTGTTCTGGTCTTTTATTGTTCAGTGTAGGGGTAATGAGAAAGTAGTCCAGCTCTGAAAAATATTAAGATTTTTTGTTCCAAGTGGGCCCTTTTCACTTGTCCATTACAAACCTGGTTCATGGATGAAGTTACTGGCTATTTTACTGAAACTGATTTCTGTCAGTAATGGGTTGACTTTTTCTGCAGCCATGTACCCATGTGGTTGGGAAAGACATAAAGATAATTGTGCTGGATCTGAGGTGATACGGATGGATGATACTGATGTTGTTCAACAAAAGGCCAAAACAGAAAAATGGATTCCTGTTTTTCCTACATTTTCAAAAATTACTTTTATATTTATACATTTTAGATTGAATGGTTTGATATTTATTGCTCTAGCCTGTTTTGGAGTTATTTTGTTGCTCTGTCAAGGTGGACTTCAGTGGCATTACCCCTGAATATATAAACAAACCTCACCTATAAAAACACAATAAAATGAACTTCAAACAACAGTAACTGTGTTGAAATAAGTAGTGTTTCTTTTATCACTTGCTGGAATTAATTGATTTCTGAGAATCAGAGATTTTTAACACTCATTGGCTTTTTGTCATTTTCAGCCATGTACATCTATTCAGTGCTTCAGTGAATTTACATTAGATGAAGTAGAGGCAAATAGATCAGTTTGGGTGATTCTTTTTTCTATCCTTTCCCCCATTCCAACTTATACTATAGCTCAAGTTTCAGCTAACAGAAAACACTTAGGAAAACACAAATCTGTTACCTGAGAGCTGACCCTCATCACATCTTGGGAGAGCAGAGATGCATCAGAGTCCTTTGGAGAAATGTGTCTCCTCCAGCAATCCTCTAGTAGAAACTTTCAATTTAAAGACATTTCTTATCCTGCAAAGGATTCCTTGGATCTATCTAGAGTTAGATAAAAGGGTCTAGATAGAGTTAGAAGGAAGAAAGAACCATACAAAGTTATTTGCTTTTACAAGAGTTTATTTAGTAGTTGTTCCAAGAACTTAGATGACCTACACTTTAAATAATGAGGTTAGTACAAAGAGGTTTGCAACATGTGCTAACACTCAGAAGCTGGACAAGATCTGGAACCCCAGGGTTATGCAGGTAAATAACAGGTGCTGTTGCAAAAAGCTTACAGTTTGAAAGATAACAAGTAACAGACAAGTGAGATAAACTATTGAGTTTAGGGAGGAAAATAGGTTAACAAAAATAAATAGCATCCTTTATCCTCAACTCTAATGAATACAGATTGCAGCAAGTTCCTTAGAAGTGACCTTTTTCAGGTCTGTCTCAGTGAATTCTTTATTCATATATATATATATACTTTTCAGACAGTATTACTGGCTTCAGCTTCTATGCATATGCTTTTAGCTAACTATCAGTTTTGATGTATTTAGGATTATAAAAGGAATCAGAAAAATCACAGAAAAAGAAAATTGTCTAAATTATTTTAGCTACTTTGATTACATTACGCACCCCCTCCACCCCCCAAAAAAAAAAGTTCTGAAGAGAAAGTGTATTAAGCCAGCTTAATTACTCTTTAGATCTTGCTAGAAATCACAACATAAAAATAATAGGCTGCACTCATCCTGAGGGCGTATGTTCAACCTAATATTAGTGTTTAGATATGCTCCCAAAGGAACAGGTTTTGTTTCTTCAAAGAAAACACAGAAATGTTGTGGTACATGTTGTACACCTCTGGGCCATGTCCTGTAAGCAATTAGCTTTTCCAGCATGACAGCTGTGAATTAAGAAGTGATGTGGAGAGATAGTATTTCTGGATAGAGCAGATGCAAAGCAGAGTGCCCATGCTCATCCTGATATCGAACATATGCTATGCTCCTTTGGTACTGCCCAGAACTTTGGAAAAATCCCATGTTCTGTTTGCAGATTAAAATGTTTTCTGAGGCTGAACATTGAGAACGTGCAGCCTGATAGGTAAGCATTTTCTGGGATTGGTGTAATTGAGATAAAGGTATTATTACCTTTAAAACCAGTACAGTGTAGTAACAAATTCATGTCACAAGATGGTGCTTCAAACCAGCTGTAATGGTATCTCCACGCATGCACGGCTTAGCTTTTGGTTTTGTTTTTTAAATAGGAGCAGCAATTTTGTAACATAATTAAAATTTATTACAAAAAAATACACAGTATCCAATTAATTAGATAATTACGATGAAGCATTTATGGAATGAAATTATAAGAATGTATTTTCCCAAATACATTCACACGAAGGAGATATATAAAGATAAAGCAATTTAGAAGCATTTGCGGTGAACAATGGATGGGCCAGCTTCATCATATTCTTGTTTGCTGATCCACATCTGCTGGAAAGTAGACAGGGAGGCAAGAATAGAACCTCCAATCCAGACAGAGTACTTGCGTTCAGGAGGAGCAATGATCTGTTTAAGAAATAAAAGCATTAATTACAGTTGTCTACTGTGAATAAAATGCATTTTTTAATACAAAATTAGTAAAGCAGTTATACATGATATTAACAAAAATACCGTTTATATGTGCTGGTGTCATCCCTGGCATTACAGCTAGCCTTTGCTGCAAGCAGTAAAGTTAACAATTTGTTATATAAGTCTATACTTTCAATTTCTTTTCCTGAGTCGGCCTCTACATTAACCCCTATCCCTGATGTATTTGTGTACTCACTGCCTCATATGAAAAGGAAAATAATTGCTCTGGAAACAAATAACGATAGTCCAGGAGGACTTGGAAAAACAAGAAGGAGGAAGGTTGGTTTGTCAGTATCCTTGTTTTTTCAACTTGTAGGCCAAAGACAAAACCAGCATTTCCCTTTTCCCATGTCCATCAGATAAAAAGGACTAAAAACAATCTCACATACAGCCCCAGAGGAAAATTCATGCTGCTAGGTCCACGCTATTCTTCTTTGGCCATGTTAGGGCATTTGGCAGAATTCAACATGAACAAAGACATGAGAGATGAGAGGACTCCCTTCTTCCAGCACCAAAGTTACCAGGTGATGATTATTTGCTAAACATGTGATTCAAAATATGTTAAAAGCAACTTACTTTGTAAAGTGCTCACTATATTTCACTAGATCTTTTAGGACTTTGTAAACGCCAGCTTATACAGTCTACAAATTATTGCACCCTACATACCTTGATCTTCATAGTGCTAGGAGCCAAAGCAGTTATTTCCTTCTGCATCCTGTCTGCAATACCCGGGTACATTGTAGTGCCTCCAGACAGCACATTGTTGGCATAAAGATCCTTTCTGATGTCTATGTCACATTTCATGATGCTGTTGTAAGTGGTTTCATGAATGCCAGCAGACTCCATGCCTGGGGAAGGTACAGAAGAACACTGAGGAAGCAGCTCCGTACAGACACTTAAAATTGTTAACCACAGAACATGAACTTTAGCATCTTTAGAAGACATCAGTCTTCAGAGCTTTGGAAATCTGGAAAGTCATTCTGCAGTCACCTAAATTATTTGCTTAAGAGTTCCCTGGTGTACAGCTCTCCTCTCCTCCTTATGCACACATCTCCTCCTTAAAAAGAAAGCTGGGGGTGTGGAATAGTAAAGTTTCCACTCAGCTTTTGCAGGCAATCTCAATTGTACTAAGAATTCCTTATATGGTCTTGGAATAATTTGTTTTCTTTTTTCTTTTTAAATTAAGTTAGCTTGATACGAAACAGTCACAATATGTCCTAATACCTCTAGGTATGCAACTACTTTATGTTTGAGCTGAAATTCTGCCGACTGGCAGAACTGACATTGGATTTCTGTGTGACCTAGTTGCAAATCTGCCTTCATGGATATTGATTAGCACGGCATTGCCTTGGCTTTGCTCTGAAAATGCAATGAACCATGGATTCAGGATGTGGAGCATTCTTTCGGAAAAATTAAAGTAGGTCTTCCTACCTGCGTGCCTTCCCCTGCCACTGCTACACACTCCTGGCAAGCACATTCAAACCTACAAAATGGCACAGGTCCAATGCCAGAAGCCAGGAATAAACACTGTGGGTTTATTTTGGGAAAGCATTTTGCCTAATTGTTTGACATGAGGTTCTTCCCACCATATTAATAGTGCTGTTCTGAAAGATTATTTTATAAGGGGTGCTAGGACAACTTGTGTATAGGTCTGAGTGAGTTACTAATGGAACAGATTCAAAAGACAATACGGACTTGATATCTATGTGCAGTTTACCAAGGTAGAACAGTCATTCAGCTTACCAATGAAAGATGGCTGGAAGAGGGTCTCTGGGCAGCGGAAGCGTTCGTTTCCAATGGTGATCACCTGACCATCAGGAAGCTCATAGCTTTTTTCCAGAGAGGAGGAAGATGCAGCAGTGGCCATCTCATTTTCAAAGTCCAGGGCCACATAACACAGCTTCTCCTTGATGTCACGGACAATTTCACGCTCCGCTGTCAAGAGGATTCAATCTTTAGAATTGCATTCAGGAGGGACCCAGACATACCGACAGGTTGTTCTCTGTCATACTCCAACACCCTCCCCATATTTTAAACAAATCTTTGCTAGTCTTGCAAGGGACTTTCATGTTGAATCCTTCTCGTGCCTGTTTAACTGCAGGACCGCTGCTGGTCCTTCTAAGGCCAGAAGAAACATTGCACATTAAAAACTCTCCCTCTCAGTCAGCAGTATGTCCTTACCAGTGGTCACAAAGGAGTATCCACGCTCCGTCAGGATTTTCATGAGGTAGTCTGTCAGGTCACGGCCCGCCAGGTCCAGACGCATGATGGCGTGCGGCAGGGCATAGCCTTCGTAAATTGGCACGTTGTGGGTGACACCATCCCCAGAGTCGAGCACAATCCCTTTGAGAAGATAACACGATTCATTCCTAGGCCCTCATCAACACACATCACTATTTCGAAGTCTATGTCATATTCCCCAGAGGCCTACCTGTGGTACGTCCAGAGGCATAGAGGGACAGAACGGCTTGAATAGCTACATACATGGCTGGCACATTGAATGTCTCAAACATAATCTGAAATGCAATGAAAATAATTGTCTTAATACTGAGGGGGTTAGCTTAGTTGAAGAAATTGACTGAAAGAGAGGTAGAATACAAGATTTTCATATTTCTCAATGGTTCGTAAGGTTTTACAAGGAAGTAAAACGAAAAATCTAAATCCAAAAATATTTGTCCAATAAGGTATCTCCCTGTATTTGACCTATATCTTTAAGGTATTAATACAGACATGTGCTCATATTAAGGATAATTTTGTAATAGGCCTGGGCATAAAAATAGATTAAGATGTCATAAAGCTTGGACAGACTGAAGTACTCACATTTGAAGTGGACACACTGATTTTCTAAAGTAAATTTAATAATATGTAAACATAACAGGTGGTCACTATGCACTTTCCATCTTCCATAACAAAGAGAGGTAGACTACTGGACAACATGATTAACTGAAATGATGAAGGTCATATCCCGTTGAACCGCAAAGTTGGATTATCCCATGGCTTTAGTGTGAGCTCACCTGGGTCATCTTCTCACGGTTGGCTTTGGGATTCAGCGGTGCTTCAGTCAGCAGAGTCGGGTGTTCTTCAGGTGCAACCCGGAGCTCATTATAGAAAGAGTGATGCCAGATCTGAGGATAATGGAAGAAGCCAAAGGAAAGAAACACCATCATCCAGCAGCTCAGGATCACTTCCAGACAGGTGTTGTGCTCCAGCCCTCTGCTTACAGCCCTAGATATAGACTAGTGGTGTTTCTCATGCAGTTGTTCTTACTGCCTTCATAGAGATTACCAGAGTAAGTATAGAAAGAAAAGCATTTTCCTCAAGTTTTACTGCTAGTAATATATAACTTACTTTAAAGACACATAAGCTAATGAAAACTGATGTTATTCTTACAATAGAAGAGGCAGACCAGGACAGACTTAGTTCCAGCAGTGCTATTTCAACTATTGAAAGTTAAACACTTCCAGAACAACTCCACAACATACACAGAGTTCAACAAATAATAGATTTCTTGAGAGTTCCATCTTTTCAGCTGTAGAGGCCAGCCCGAGAATTCATAAAAAGAAAGGAAGGTAAATGGTTTGTGGGGTTGAAAGTCAACTTGTGTTTATCACCTCCACACAACTCATTCCAACAAGCTGTAAAAATCTGAGGCCAAGTGGATTGCAATGAGGAGGTTAAGACACCAATAAGAAGTAAACTGACCAGAAACTTTAGTCTAAAGGCCAAGAAGTTTTTGCTAAGCTTGTTTTCAAGGTGGTGGTGGTTAGGGATCAGTTAATATGTTTGGATCTAAAAGGCTTTGCTTTCAAGTAAAATCTACAGTATTTTGACTCCACACATTTACGGTGTGTTGCGATGTCCTCACTGTTCCAAATAGCTCTATTTTCACAGAACAACATTAAATAGAAATACCACCTTAGAATCACAGAAATTATATTATCTGTACAAACTATGACTAAACACATAGTTCTGAAAGCCTTTCATCCAAATACTGGCTCTGAAATGGATGCATTGCACTGCAATATTGCTAATCTTTCAAGCATTAAAAAGTATGTGTATAAACAGTGCCCTTCACATACACACTTTGCATTTTTGCTGAAACAGACACCTTCTTAATTTCCATTTTCTTACTAGCAAATTGATATATTCCTTTTCCTTCTTTCCTCCCCTCTCCTTACCCTGCCACACCCCATCCCTCAGTAATCAGCAAAGATCAGGTGGGAGTAAAAGAACTCCCAATGGACTTCTAGTGATACTCAAGCTTTAGATGCAAGTTAACCTTGGCTGTTAACAAGCTTCTCATTAAACCACACTGGATAGCATGACACTTTCATCTAAAATTTAGTGGGTAAACATTTGGTTTAAGTAGTTTTGCTTACTAGTGACACACATGAACTTTTCAAAGCTGAAATACCTTCTCCATGTCATCCCAGTTTGTAATGATGCCATGTTCTATGGGGTATTTCAAGGTCAGGATTCCTCTCTTGCTTTGAGCCTCATCACCTACGTAGCTGTCTTTTTGACCCATACCAACCATCACACCCTATAAAATAATACAAATTGAGTTAGTCCCTCAGGGAGAAGTGTCACAAAGTAGACAAAACATTAACTGTGAAATAAATCCAACTGCCAGTTATACTAGTTACAATATACTTTACAAATACCAACAAATGCAGACTTATTCGTTGCTCTTAAATTGCCAGTATTAAATGTTTAGTTCACTTAAATCCCTGGAGTTCATGTTTGCACTACAGTTTAAGTAAACAGAGCAAGTACAATATTAAGTACATCAAGATAAAGTGGAAAAATAAAGTTGTTTTAATGTTCATTATTATTTATGGATTAACTGTCTGCTAAATTATAATAAAGTGGAGTAAAAGCAGAAAGTGATATTGTGCCATCTAAGGGTCAAGATGGAGTGATACACACTTTATATTTCCCAAAGCTTAAGTTTCAACATTTTTTAATCCTCTTTTTGAACACTCCAATACTGTAATTAGAGAAAGACGATTTAAATCTAATGGTACAAGCTTCTTCATAGGTATCTTCATGGATCCTCTAGTACTAGCTTCTATACTGACAGGCAGATATTTCTCCAGTCCTGAAGAACTTAAAATGCATTTGCTGGGTATATGAAGTGCCACATCTTACAACCACCTTGTTTCTTTCCACCAGGGCCTTAGGTGACATAGAAGCAATTAGGTGGATCTGCTAATTATGTGAGCTAGTTTGCTGTGGCCTAGCCAAGCTGCTCTAATTCATGCTAATGATGATCCATCTCATAAACTCCCTATATTTAACAGCTCAGGTAATAAATGTATTTTGCAAACTATTAAAATATAGTGGAATGCATCATATAGTCAAATGTAAACCTTGAAACCAAAGAAACTCAACCCTAGGCAGGTTTGTGATACAACTAAATGAATAAACTCAGGAAGGTTAGTAGGAAGCTGACTAAAAACTTCTTCCTCCCTTAGTTTTCCACACATTACTTATCATTAGCTTTAAGGGCATTCAGAATTTCCAGTTATTTCTGTGTTAGGCTTACTTGGGTTTTGGGTTGGTTTTTGGGGGGGTTTTTTTGTTGGTTTTTTTTTTTTAAACTAGCTGTACTCACCAAGTTCTCTGGTTGATTCAAAGTTATGGGGCACACAAAAGATGGTATAGAAGGGAGAGAAAAATTTTAAAGGATTTCTCTCATAAGGCAAGAGACTTGCTTTCACTCAGGTGAGTATTTTGCCTGGAAATACTGTGTTATACAGATCACCCCAGGCTGGACTAGCCCAAGACATAGGGAATGGTGAAGAGCGGGGGTCAGGACAGCAAATCCTTCTACAAGTCCAGTAAGGAATAACCAAAGTAGTTCATCACCTGGTGCCTGGGACGACCCACAATGGATGGGAAAACTGCTCTTGGAGCATCATCCCCGGCAAAGCCGGCTTTACAGAGCCCTGACCCATTGTCACACACAAGGGCAGTGCTGTCCTCTTCCTCACACATCTTCTATGTCAGTGTCCTCTGGCCCTCCAGACAGAAAACAGCCCTATGAAAACAGCAGAGAAGAATTAAAACCAAGAAACATACTCAGGTATCAGACCCTCCCCCAGAAGACAGAGATGGCTGTATGAAAGCAGCCAGCACAGCCAGGAGGGGCATGGCCCCGGTCTGGCATCAAGGGCTGCTGGGCTATTCGAGGGAATGGGCTTCCTTTTGAAAGCCTGAGAGGTTTCAACCATGTCTGCCAAGGGGCTGTGTGCACTAGGGGATTATCCAGGGAATTCCAGAGGAGACTTCCAGCCCTGCAGCATGGTCAGAGAGATCAAGGAGCAGCAAATGTTTATCTAAATTTGGTCACAGAAATCCACGGCTGGGGGTGGGAGATAAAAGAGAGCACTGAACTGACAGCTGCAAAAACAAAGATCCATTTGCATTGGATTCAGCACAACTTCTCCCACTTTTCTATCATGCTGACAAAGTCCTGACACATGTGGAAAACTGTCAAAGGTAAGAGCACTTCATCTTTCCCTTTTAGTCCTATGCTTCCCAACAACTAACCACATGAAATGCTATGCATGTACCAGGGGTCTTTTCCTGAAGCAGATATTAACCCACTGGGTGAAGATGGCCAATTAATTTTGTGTTTAACCTTTTAAAAGAGAAAAAATGTTCTAAATTACAAAACAACAAAAAAAAAAAGGCAAGCAAGCATTTTTCAGTCCTCCCCTAATCACTTAGAAAAAAATCCCACTTTTAAAATGAAGCCAGAGACAGTATGTATTTTTAAAACCATTTCTCTATCATCATTTCAAAGCAGCTAATAAACTACATTTGTAGAGTGACAGAGCAATTTATGTTGGCTCCTTGACTCAGTAAAAAGAAACTGTTTTCTTCCTCTGGCAATAGGATGATAACACGGGTAATAAAAATACTTCGAAGGCTTTGTATTAAAGTCAATTACAGAAACAAGAACTGAATACCAGGACTCAAGAAGAACTATTTGCTTGCAATTTATAGTGTGTTAGGGAATCACTTGGCTCATTCCGAGCCTGTGTTTCCATGCAGAGTTCAACAAATTGCAATGTGTTAACAGCTAAAGGAGACAGCTGTCATCCATGGACCAGCTGGCTCCACATGCAGTCAAAACCTTCTGCCACAGGAACACTGGAAGCGCGGGACAAAGTGGAAATGCAGTCAGCAAGAGCTATGGCCAATGGGCAAGGGAGTCCACAATCTGTTCATCCTCTACCTGGATGGAACAAGCATGGGCAGTTCTTCCAAATGCTTCATTTGAGATCCTCCGCCTCTGCCCAGGCAGCCACCAGACATGGCTGCAACCCTGCTCCTGCAGGATGAGTGGGCAGAATTCCCAGGAGAAGACACGGATAAGGAAATCCTAACTTTGTGTACTCCAGGTATTTTATCACTATAATTGGGAAAGTAGGTTGCAATTTCTTCATTTATTAAACTCCTGGGGAAACAGGCTCTTTATATTCAAATATTTACTGAATGGAGTACAACTGTTATCTAACATGAATGAACAGACTGGTTTGGACAAACCATTTCCTAATTAGGAAATAGGCTTTTCAACCATCTGTTTTTGGAACAGAGTTCGAGGTCAAGGGGTTTGTTCAAACCAATGCAGCTAGTGCAATGCCAAAAATCACTGGGGGGAGGGGAAAGAAGGGGGCAGGAAAGGCTACATTTCTGAGCCTAGTGGACTCTAAATGAAAACCATATTTAGTAATAAAGCACAAAATGCTGAAAAATCAGACAGAGGGCTCTGCTGCCAACCAGGAAGTTACAGCTCAGGACTGCTCTGGTATGCAGTAGCAACATCTTAGAGCAGCAAATGTCACTGAGTACTGTGGAAGACAGGACATTTTTCTCCCAAGTAATCAATAGTCTTTAGTCTCTTCTCCTTGCTTTACTTCTAAATATAATCAATCACTTCACCAATCTCCACAACAAGCTATTGAAGAGAACTCCAGCTCCACAAGAAGTCTGTGTGTCTTCCTTAATGAAATGTTTGGCATTTTACAGAACAGTAGGATGAATACATAACATCCTCATTTTATCCTATTACACACTGCTAATTTGCACACTTCCAGCTCTTCTTGCAGTCACATGCCCCAAAACACTCATGTACATTACACTGGGTTAACAGCAATGAATAAAATCTGCTAAGAAACACTACTGCATACCCCTTCAGGAACTTTGTTCTGCCCCAGACTAATACCCCAAGGTCATACGAGTTCATTTAAACATGAACATAGCTGTAGTTCCACCTGTGGCATTACACAAACCATTTATTTATACAATTGCTGAAGTGCTGGTAGAAGGAGCAAAATTATTAGGTAGAACTGTTCTGCCCCTTTCAGAAGTGCTATAAAATAAAGTCAACTCAGTATAGATACTACAAGTACTTTATCAACTCAGTTCTAATAAGTAAGTTTGCTTAAGCAAACTACAGCACAGCAGTACACCCTCCTGAATAGCTTCCATTTGACATTACTTAATTGAAGTCCTCCAGCAATCTTTAAATCATACTGTTGGTTCCGTGCCACTTACCCTGACAGTGCTTGGCTGGCGATAGCTGCTCTGGGATGGTGCACTCTGTATCTGAAAGCTCTGAGGTTATATAGACCCTTCAGCTCTTCTCCTCCCACTAGCCTCCCAAACAAGGAGCAGAGACAGACAGAGACAGAGCTGAAGTCTTTAACAAAACCATATAGGGACCTTAATACAAAAAACTCTAATCTGGGTGGCCACAGGCCCTGGGTCTCTTCCACCGCATTCCAGTGCAGAGCTCATGAAACAGGAGACTTTCAGCTGTGTAATATAAACACTTTAAAACTTCAGGAGAGTTACTAAAATACAGAGTCAGAGCCAGCCCACAATAGACATCTTCTGGCAGGAGGATCATATGTTCAAACAGGAGAGGTCCAGGACTCCACAGTAACATCCAAGAGGCAGAATGAGAAATTGGAAGAGCATTTATAACAAGGAAGGTGTTTTTAAAGAAACACTTTCCTGTCCTTAAAGATTTTGAGAAAAACAATGAAAATCTTTCTGGCCAGCTAAACAGCTTCTCAGTTTTTCTACAAAGTGTCCTTAAAGGCTTGGCATTTTGCTTATATACTAAATATTGCCCGTAGGCTTAAGGGTAGCAAAAAAAGCACGTGCTGTTGTTTATGGTTCACAACCTTTGAAGGTTGTGAAAAAGTTCAGTTAAGAGATTGTTATGATCCCTCTGGATTATGATGGGTTAGAATCCATTCTGTTTCTCAGACAGCTTGTTTTTCAACTCTAGGACCTGCAGACCAATTATGCCCTAGTGCTATTTTACTGAAGGCCACAAGTCTGGACTGCCATGAACTCACATCTCAAATTGTTTGTAGTAAAGTTGTTGAATTTTATAACCCCAGCTAGCTTTTCCATTGAACATATTTTTAGCAAATAAAGGAATGGTTCTCCCTGTACAAGTTATTTTCATCACAGGCCTCAATTTTTACAGCTGTAGCCAACTGTTCTCTGGACAGGCTAATTCTAGTGTAGCAGCGCTTTCATAGCCAACGTTTTGTCATTAAGTTTTTACAAAATATCAGAAACAGCATCTCTTAACTCCAATGCTAAACCTTACGAATTCAAAACTGGTCCAACCACACAAGCCAAGAAAGATGTGAAAATCCAAGTGAGATCCTTGCTTTGTGAGTCTTGTTGCAATAGGGAGAAGCAATACAGAGTGCCTAATTGAGTAGCCTTAATACAAGAAAATCTCCCACAAAACCACAGTGAAAGTTTTTCTGATGTGAAAATTTAAGCAATAAGCTACTAGTAGAGATAGCAGATAGATAGAATTATGGATTGAAGACCAAAAGGAATTTAACTTTTAAGGAAAGGAACTTTGAAGGAATGTAACTGCCTTGGAGAGTCAGAAACAGAAGCTATCAAATGTTGGAACATGAGCTATGCAAAAGCTATTTATTATTTCACTTCTAGTATCAGGTCAAAAGACAGAAATATTAAAATAAAAAAAAAAAAAAAAAAAAGGAAAAAGGAAAAAAAATTAAAAAACCCAAACCACCAAGATCAGCAACCTAAAAGAGAGGACCTAAACAGGCCCTTTTTTGCATATCTACAACTGACACTCAAAGAACAGCCAAAACCAAATTCTTTGTTTTCAAACAACACTCAAGAACACAGCTGAGAAAACTTGTACACCTCATATAGAACATATGGTATTAGATCAGAGACCTTTGGTCAAGGGGAAGGAGAATTTCACACAGCATAACCCTTCAATGCAGTATCATGTTTGATTTTACATCAATTACCTTCTAGATTAGAAGAAACACAATCCTAGGTTTTCAGAAACATCATCAACTACTACTCCTTGGAAATACCAACACTGGGACAAAGATTCAAAAGAATCCAAACTTTTTGTCTTACTGAGCAGAAGTTTACAGCTGACAAAGTCTCACTCAGAGCAGGTAGTTGTTGATATGGTGACACACAGTAAACACCAGTTGTTTGGAAGGACCTACTGTATGAAGGGCATTTGTTACAGACAGACATAGGTAGGCTAGAAGGAAGGAGTAAGCCAGAGGCTTGAGTAAGCAGTAGTGATGGATACACAGAAACAGAAAAGGAAAAATGTAGAGATGCTGTCCAGCCATGCCTCCAGCATACAATGAAGAGGAGTGCTCAGCAGGCAGATTGTCTCTGCAGCGTGATGTTATGGAAAGTGCCAGGGCAGGAAGGAAGGCAGGCAAACAGGTGAACTATGCAAGGAAATTAGGTCAGTCCAGCTCAAGGGACATTATAGAATGAAAGTATTCCTTTTCTTTTTGGTGAGGTTTTTTTTTTTTGATGAAGTTATGATCACACAGCTATTACTAGACATAAAAGTACATCAGTAGTTTACACCTTTTTTCTCAGCAACTTAGGTTATTGTCAGAAGGGTAGGGAGGGAAGGGGAGAATGTACTTGGCACGAAATATGAATAATAACCTAAAGAGAACTGAATAGAACAAGTCTTCTGAGAATCAAACCTAAATGCTGGGGATCAAAACACTGAACTCTCCTCTGCAGCTATGGACACAAAAGAGCTTAGCCCAAATATACATACATATATATATATGTATGTATGTATATTATATATGTGTGTGTGTATATATATATATGTGCGTGTGTATATATATATATATAAGGTAGGTTGGGTTTGTTTCTTTCTTTCTTCAAGAAAAAGAACACACCACCATTCCTGAAAGTAGTTTACTTTTTCCTCTAGAGGCTACTTCCATCAGCAGTTTCTGCTGCCTATCTTTCAGTCCTTATGCCACTCATCTGTATAGAACCCACGCAGCTCAATTGCCTGGTGTTTCTATATCCCAAGGTTCCCATTCTTTCTTTGTATCCATAGCCAAAACCTATGTTTTTCATTAACTTCCCCTGAGAACTTTGTTTTTCCATATTAAACCCTTTCGTAGTCTCTATCACAGGATATGTCTGGAGTGAAATGAGAGAAAGAAAAACAACAGGAAAAAGTAATTTTGCCTCTCTCTTAATACCCTTTTCCCTGATCTCTTTACAGAGATACTAGCAAAGCTCCAATGCCCATTGGAAACTTCCCTATTGACTTCAAGCATCTTTTGGTATATCAGTGGAAACTCTTAGCTACACCTTCCTTAAGTTCTTTCTTTTTCAGTAACTTGTGCAGATTTCCATATGGGCACAAAGTGTACTTGGGACTCCACAGCAGCTGTGCAGCCACCATGCCTGGGAAATGGGCTCCAGCTGGCCTGAAGAATGCCAGCTCAGAGGCCCCACACCAGTGAGTAGATGCCATACTTTTTTGGTAAAGGAGGACAGAAGCTGCAGGCTTATCCCAACTGCTATAGAAGACTGTGAATAAAGTAAACCCTTTGCTTTACTTTATAAGGGAAAACAACTTCTGAGATGTGTGTGGAGATCTTCCTGCCTGCATCCAATTGGCTGTTTAGGAATGAGGCTCTGCTAAATATGTCTCTGGCTCCTTTTTATTTGGGGATTCCTTTCATCTTCGTAACATTAGCAGAATCTCTAAATGTTTTGATTTGTCTGGCTTCAGGCCCTCTATCTCATTGATAGGCTTTACACTTCCCCACCCCACCCCCTCACACACAGCCCCATTTTGAGAAAGACAGGATTAAATAAGCTTTAAGGAGCAGAAAGTCACTCTAATAATCTGATTCATTGCAGCTGTCACACAGTATGCATCTGTAAAGTGTCAGATTAACCATAAACTGTCAGACACATAGATTAGCTTTCTCTGTGATTGTCAGGCTCTTGCACTAAACTAAGCCAAAATTACTCTAATCATTCTCAAATATGGCAGTTTTCAACCTATAAAGTTTAGAAAATAGTTCTGCCACTGATGTTCAAGAGCTAGAGGAGCCAGTGTTTGCCTCCTGGGCCTCTTGGTGGTGATGAAGAATGCTAGTTCACAACCTTCCTTCACCTTCTTGACAAGGTATCTTTCTCCATGGTAATGTGGTAGTTATCCTTCATTCAAAATCAAAGGAACACATTCGAAGTAAAAATGAGATAATGGCTCTCTCCTCATTCCTTCTTAGATAAATAAACAGAACATAAGTACAAGCCCTGCTGGGTCAGGCTGATATCCATATAGCTCAGTGTCCCGTCTCTCAGATTTCCTGACAGCAGATCTCAGGAAAGAAATAGGACTTCTACAGTGGTGATTTTTTTCCTATCACCTTTCTCCTTTCATATATACAGCAGAAAGGTTTTTTGAGACAGGAGTTTGTACCTATGTCTTCATGTATAATAGATGCAGACAGATTTTTCCACCATACATTTGCATAATTTTAAACACATAATTTTGAAAGTCCTTGACAATTTTTTTTTTTTTTTTTGGTAGAAATAAGCTGTACATTTTGTCTGCAAGGCATCATCCACAATTCACACTCCAGCTGGTACAGACATACCTAATATTAGAAAGAAAACGTCAAAGACATCAGAAACATAGTCAAAGGAACACTGTCTATACCAAGAGCTGCAAATCCACCAGAGATCCTGGATAAGCCCTCAGGCCACTGGCCAAGGCCAAGCTCTGCCCCACTGTGCAAACTATCAGCAGCACCTCAGTAGCTTGTTCTCAGTTCATGATGGCATATCTGTCTGAAATTACACTGTAGATAAGGCTTCACAATAATGTTACATTGGCACATCTCCCAAGAGTTACAGGAGAACAGCTTCCCCTAGACAATTATCAGAACCTCTTCAGTAACATGCTATCTAAATTTGTCAAAATGTAAATGAAATCTTCCCACTGTGGAAGACACGTCCTGTACTTCTAAGGAAGTCAGACCTACACTACATGTGCGTGGGACAGGCAGAGCACAGGGCTCCTTCCTCCACAATGACTTCCAAGCTCCCCAACCAACACATTCCCAGACTGACAGCAACAAGGAGACCACTTCCCAGCATATTTTTGCAATAACAGTTTTCCTGTTATTATTTCACCAAGAGCAAAGTTTCAAGGTGAGCTTGCACAATATAACAAATCAGATGGTTCCCATGAGAGAAATTTGTTGGAATCGAGTTTCATGGGG